TTCCTGTATCCCCTGAGCCCCTGAGTGGTGCTGGAGCTCTTTCCATCCTTCCATGTGCCTGTTCCAGGGACATTCCTGTATCCGTGAGTCCCTGTGTGGTGCTGGAGCTCTTCCCACCCTTCCCTGTGCCTGCTCCCATTCCTGGTCTAGTGGAAGGTGTCCTGCCCATGGCAGGGGGTTGGAACTGGGTGAGCTTTAAGCTCCCAACCCAAACCATTGTGGGATGAACAGGGATTTGAGGCTGAGCTCAGCCCCCCAAATCCACCCCAGGGCCAAGGGCTCTGCTGCTCACGATGAGCTGTGCCCACGTCCAAGCTGCTTCCATGTATGGAGACACAAATAATTGATGCTTTCTGGGCTCGGGACTTTGTCTCTGCATTATTTATTCACCCTTTGAGCTTCCTCCTCTTTTTCCTCCCGTTGGAAGAGGCCTTGGCAGTGCTGTTCCTGCTCTCAGTGGCAGCTCTGGATGTTGTGGAGTTGTGTCTCTGCTTGAGCCTCTGTGGCTGCTGTGCCAGGTCTGCCCAGTGCTGGAAGAGCCAGAGCTTGGAACAAAGCACTTTTAGGCTGGGACAGTGCTTGGAGTGGAGTGCTTTGAACACTGGAGCCAGAGAGGGGCTAAAAGCCAGAGCAGCCACAGAGTGGGGACAGCTGGAGCCTTAATTTAGCCTGGGGGCAGTGAGGGGCCGAGTGGCTGCAGAAAGTGCTGACCTGGGGCAGGCTACAGTTACTTTCCAGGGATTTTGTTTTCATCTCTGGTTAGTCTGGCTCTCCCTGGGAGCTCCCAGCCAGGGCAGGGAGGACTTTGGGTGTTATCAGTGTTTGGGGCAGTGCTGGCTCAACTCTGGACCTGGAGCAGCACATTTCTGAGCTGATGCTCTGGGGCCTGGGGAGGAGGGTCAGGCACTGTCACTGCTGTGAGGAGAAGCAGAACTGGGGCCTGGTGTTGCTCAGCTGCCACAGAGGAAAACATCCCTGCCTGGATCCTCTCTGAGCTGGGGCACACACAGCATCTCTCACACTCCAGCCCAGGGGGCAAAGGGCAGTGTCAGCTCTCCCTTTGCTCTCCAAACTCCTGTTTGATGTTGTGGCTTTGGTTTTGCTAGGATTGCCAAGTTGTCCCTGCCTTGTATGGCCCAGCACTGCAGAGCACTGGGAGGGCAGGGTGGTCCCTGTCAGCCTCAGGAGAGCAGGTTTGGTTCTGCCTAGCACAAGCAGAACTGCTCATCCTTCCTTCCCTGCCTTTGGCCATATTTGGGGAGGCTTTGCCTCCTAGTTCTGATTCCTGATGGGTAGGAGAGTTCTGCAAGGCACAAGGGGAAATACCAGCAGTGTTTCTCTGGAAAAGCCCCTGGGAATGTGGGGGAGTGTGAGAAGGGGTGAGAGAGGAAGAGGTCCTGGTGTCACAACCTGGTCCCCAAACACTGGTGGCACCTTATGCCAGGCTGAGTGGCACTGGCTGTGCATCCAGGGCGCTGCAAAGCCTTTTCCTCCCCAGCTGAAGGCTCTTTTCTAGGAGCTGGCAGCACCACAAGGTCGATCTGCACAGGAGAGTGTTGTTGCAGCTTCCTCTTCTGGGTTTCCCTGTGCTGAGAGAGCTTCATTTTTATTTCATTAGTTATTGACTGTTGTGCAAAAGCTGTGAGCAGCCTGGCTCCTGGGGCATGGAGCCATGGGCTCCTGCCTGCCCTGCCAGGCTCTGCTCCCACCCTGGGACTGGCTGGAAGGATCTCCAGCCTCCTCTTTTCCCT